TATTGACCATATTATTTTCCAGACATTGCTAAGTGTTTCCCATCCCTTCTTTCATTTAATCCTCATAACAGACTGTGAAGGACTTATGATCTCTCCTGTTTCCAGCCGAGTAAACTGAGGGCCAGAGAGGTCATGTGACTGGCTGAGAGCTACCCATTCAGTGGTGTAGCCGAGATCTGAACCTCCGTCCATCTGGCTCCAAAGACAGTACAGCTACTACAGTCTGCGCTGCCTAGTGATTTATCACAGCAGCTTTGACCCTCATCACTAATACGCAACTGTAAGCGGAGAGTTACAGCTTGCACCATTTCCCTCCTAATGTGTAATAACAATTATGAACAGTGATTAACAATAGTAATAGCACTTGAACCTACTCTAGGTGGATAATCAGGACAGAGAGTGACAGTAAGAAACCATGAGCGGGCTTGGCTACTTTGTGTATGAGATGGAAACAGCCAGGCCCCAGAATGGAGAGGTGATTCCCCAGCATCAGGCCGCTTGCAGACCTCCCAAGACCAGCATAATCCTGGCCCTGGTCAGAGTCAATTTTTAAAACTGATCACCGAGAAGATACTAAACTAAATGGTGACGTCTAATCAGGCTCCTTAGATGTTTGGAAAAGATTTGTGAAAAGAGAACTTTCTGGAATGTTCTGTCCAATTCACCCCCGAACTGGTTATCTCCTTGTGCAGAGCCAGCCACGCAGGATGGATTATGTGGGCTCTGAGCCGAGTGTTCGGGGGCTTGGGAGACGCAGGTCTGTAAACAGAACCCAGAGGTAATGAGTCCGCTGGTAACCGGAAGCCCTTCACGGTGATGGTGGAGGACGGGCCGTGCGCCTGGGGCCGGGAGCGGCCGGGACTCCAGCTGTAGGTGGACGATGGGAGCAGGGCCCTGCCAGAGGAAGGCTCCACACAGAACGGGTGGGATGGGGAAAGGCCTGCCTGCCAGGAGCCTCGGAGCTGCAGCAAGCCCAGACTCAACCCAGGCTCCCCTGTGAGCAAACGTGGCAGGGGCAAAGCCAGAAGCAACATGGGCACCCAGATGGCAACCCATCTGCCGTGGGGAGGACTCCCCCAAATCCGGCTGCCCCCCACCGAAGAACTGGGATCTTCCGAATCCAAACGTGTCCCTTGCTGCTGGTAACCCAGGAAGCCGAAAGACCCATCCCCAGGGACCCCGGGGAGCACGGGGAGAGAGACCCCTGAGGATACCAGGGCCCTGGCCCAAATGTCTTCCTTTGTGCCAAACACAAACCGTCAATTACACTTCCTCATTTTTGTCTTATTTTCTTTCCGGGGAGGGACTGGCACAAGCATCCCCCTTGACCACCCTGCACCTGACCATCCAGTGGAGCCAGGTTCCTGGAGAAAGTGAATACTGCCCAGCCCGGGGGTGCTGGGGGGACGGTACTAACCTGTCCAGCCACTGGGGAGACAGAGGCCCTGTGCGGCGTCTTTGTGGGGATGGGATGATGGGGGTGACCGCGCCATGCCAGGTCTCTGAGCTCATCCGACCAGATCCCAGGGGCCCTGGAGGAACTCCTGGTCCCCACAAACTGCTCAGCTCGTGTCTGGAGGCTGAGCCCAGGCCCGGGGAGTCCAGCTCTGAAGAAAGCAGCTCTAACTCAAGTCCGAGCTGGGACCAGACTGGATGGCAACCTGCCCCCAAAACAGGAGTGCACTTAGATTGTCCTGTGAGCTGACTGCCGTGTGAAGCTCCCCAGAGACTGAAGCAGTCAGGCCTCCTGTCCACAGAGTCCAAGAGGACCTTCACACTCTGTTTGTTTTGTGTGTTTCCACCTGCTGGCTGACGTCTGCTCAGAACCGGGACGGCCCCGCACACAACGCCTGTACACGCATCGCCCCTCGCAGTACCTGGGGCGTCGGGGATGCTCGGGGAGTGTCACTTCTCTTCCTTCTCCCCCTCCGTGTTCCCCTGCTTGGTCTCCAGGCTTGGGCACTGGTGACACCAGTCCCATCCCAGCAACACTCCTGCCTCAGGGCTGGGAAGTCACGGTAGCTCTGCCTAAAAGCTCAGAAGACTGATGTCGTGCATTTTATTGCAGGCTCCTCTCCCCAAAACAGCAGGCTCCCGGGCTGACTCAATCAAGTCAACTCCACTCATGAAATGAAAAAAAAAAAAAAAAACAGTGGGTGGATGATAAGTGTCGATCAGACTGTTGTCAATGAGTCAACATTTCAAGTCACTGGAGGACTTTTTAATCCCGTCATCCAGCTGTTACAGTTTCTCAAAGCCCCAGTTTTGATGTCGTCTGTTTCCATTAAACACATTTGCAGCTGAAATAGGCAAAAATCAAACCCTTCCGGCTGGGTGGGGTGGAACACCAGAGGGATAACTGGTCATTAAGCTCCTTAAAGGGAAGGACAGCAGACTGTTCAGAAAATAAAAAGATATTTTCGCCCTGTCCCTGGGTCTCAAGGGCCCCGTCGCTCTAGCCAGACCTACTTCTCTTCAGAAAAAAATGAACTTTAGTGGAAAGAAGCTTGTATTCTAGACCTGAAACTGTGTGACCAGCTGCTCCAAACCCAACCAGGGGCCTGGAGACCATAACTCACCTACCCCCATCCTACACTGCACCTGGCTTTACCACCAAGAGGGACTAGAGTGATAAGCCCAGATTCTTAAAGCAGAGACTTAAGATCAGGCCTTTATGGGATGAAGTGAATTGATTGCAACATGGCCCCAACTTGTCAATACCTCCCTGTACCCACTGACTTCCCACACTGACTCCGGGCTTAAGCCTCTGGGAAGGTAACAAATGGGATGGAAACAGACTTGAAAAGCACCTGCACTTTGGGACGTGGCCTCTGTCTGCCCTGGAATGCTGAGCCGCAGTGTGAAAAACCCGAGCTAGCCAGCTGGAGGATAGAGGGCGGGGGATGCAGAGATGACGGTCCAGCCCACCAGGCCCTCCTACACCAGCTCTCCCTCAGTGAGCCCGGCCAGCATCACCAAGCCTGAGCCCCAATAGCAGAACCACCTGGTTAAGCCCAATCCACGATGCCGACCCTAGAACTGTTCAGTCACTAAGTTTGGAGCTTGTATTAGGCTGCAGAAGCTGAGTGACACAAAGGCCAACTTCCTTCACGAAAAGAACTACGTATCTTTCACATCTAAGAAACTCCCACAAATCAAGTCACCTTATTCTACAATTTCATTCTTATTCATGAGGAGTTTTGTGTGTGTTCAGACACATCCTTTGCTTCTTGTTTTGCGAAATAGTTGAAACGACCTCAATTTCTATCAATAGGAGCCACGGCACAGGCACTGGTGGTGGGTATGACTTCTCTGGAAGACAACTTGGCAACATCTTTCAAATGCGGGGACATAACAAATGGGTCTAGAAGATCATGTTTTTCCAGAAAAAAAATTAAAACAAAGAAGCCAGAGAACACTCTGATGTGTTTTATAGGAAAACAAATTATCCAAACATCTGAGATCTCATGGTGCACTGACTGGAAACAGTGAAGCTTCTTGCATGAAAGCTGGGGGGGCGGGTCTTGGGGAGACAAGCTGGGCCGTGAGGGGGTAACACAGCCCCCGTGAGCAGATGAGCTCAGGGGGCTGCCATCACTGCGGCCCCAGAGCTGGGGAGAAGTCCCCTGCAGAATGTGGGTAACGAGGAAAACCCAGGAATCAATGATTGGAACTTGGAAGGTGGTTAGCTGTGATTGATTCTAACCCTGCCAGGCGAGAGGCCCCGTCCTGTACAGACCTGAATTTTACCCCCAAGAGAAGAAGGCAACTGGTCGACCCCATTGGCCGCCTGACAGCCTGTTTGGAAGCAGGCTGCACCCAACCGAGCACAGCTGGAAGCAGAGGGAGATGCAAAAGCCACGGGAAGCCCATCTGCTGCGCAGCTGGGTTCCAGGAGGCTTCCCGTGGCTGCCAGCGAGGAGCATGGAGAAAGGGGAAACCCTAACTCAAAAGAACACTTTGTTTACTTTCCAGTTTGGACAGATCATTCCCCAGGGTGAGAACAGCACATTTCCTAAAGGACAATAAGACGGGAGTGCTGGGGGTAGCCCGGAGGTGCAGCGTGTGGGGCAGGAGGAACAAGAGCCACACCTTAAACCAATAAAAGTAGAGTAATGTGTTTTATTTAATTAAAATAGATTAAAAAACAGACTGTGTAAAAGAATTAGGATTCTCAATAATTTACTATTATTTACACGAGAAATTCTGGTCGTTAGTATTCTCTGTGAGGAGATGAACACGCAGAGCCCAGACCCTCCCCAAAGGCAGAGGGAGACTCGTTGGGGGCACTCGGTGACCCCCTGATTCCCGTCCACTCAGGGTGATATGGCAAGCATATCACTGAGATCTTGGTGACCGGCAGGAAGGGGGACCCTCAGACGCCCAGGGGTCACTGCACTGTCACCCCTCATAGGAGCCCAGGTGGGGACTCCTTCCTCTCGGGAGAATCGTCACCACTCAGAGTTCATCACACGGGCACCAGTCAGTGGTCCCCCTGTGCCCGCGGCCAAAACCCCATTCACGACCAACCTTCCGCAAACACTCCCTTGGCTGACGTGAAGCCCACAGTTTCTGGATAGAAGATAAAAAACAGGAATGGAAGCTGCATGTCCTGGTTTCCAGGGAAATCCTGGATGACAGAACACACCCGCCTGTGTTGTCCAGAACTTGGTGACTCACGAAGATGCCACGAAAATGTTCTGTGCGCTTGTGGAGGGAGGAGACGTGGCGGGAGGAGCCGGTGTCAGACCCGGCCCGGGACGTCCTGCAGGCACTTGTGGCCCCTCCAGGCGTGGTGGGGGTGTGCCCCGGGGATGCATACACAGGCCAGGAAGACCCCTAGAAGCAGCAGGGGTGCCGGACCCCCGTAACCCGACTCCTGGTTGTCGGAGACTTACGGTCTCCGTGGGCGCGGGCGGCTGGGTAGGACCGGTCCCTGGCATGATGGACTTCAGCGGAGCCACGGTCACCAGCTGGGGGAGGAGGGGCCCCGTGGAGACTCAGTCCAGAATATCCGTCTCGAAAGGCACCAGGTGGTAATAGGACAGGTTGGTGACATAAGCTGCTGGGTCATCTCCATCCTCCAGCTCGGAGGCAAACTCACCGCCATTCTCAAACCTGAAACGGGAAAGCAGAGGTGAGGCCAGGGCTGGCTCACTGGCCCCTGGCCCCACTGAAGTGGACAAAGGGCAGACGGCCACTGGCAGGAGGGTCTTTGGATCGAACAGCACGGAAGGGCTCTCCACGACACCGGCCCATCCACCACCAGGCTGTGTGTGGAGCGAGTGTGGAAGGAACCGTGATTGCAAATTGATCAGTCACGTGGGCCCGACTCCAAAGCCATCACAGCTTTGGTTTTCACTGCCTTAGAGACTGTGATTTACTCTCACTGATCAATATTGAGGCATCCATCCATCCATCCATCCATCCATCCACCCATCCATCCACCGATCCATTTATCCAACAATCCATCCATCCAGCCTGCCAGCCAGCCAGCCAGCCAGCCAGCCTGCCAGCCATCCATCCAGCCTGCCAGCTAGCCAGCCATCCAACCAACCATCCATCCATTTATGCATCAATCCATCCATCCATCCATCCATCCATCCGTCCATCCAGCCATCCAGCCAGCCATCCATCCAACCATCCATCCATTTATGCATCAATCCATCCATCCATCCATCCATCCATCCAACCATCCATCCATTTATCCATCCATCCATCCGTCCGTCCACCGATCCATTTATCCAACAATCCAGCCAGCCAGCCAGCCAGCCAGCCATCCAACCACCCATCCATTTATCCATCCATCCATCCGTCCGTCCACCGATCCATTTATCCAACAATCCAGCCAGCCAGCCAGCCAGCCAGCCATCCAACCACCCATCCATTTATCCATCCATCCATCCGTCCGTCCACCGATCCATTTATCCAACAATCCAGCCAGCCAGCCAGCCAGCCAGCCATCCAACCACCCATCCATTTATCCATCCATCCATCCGTCCGTCCACCGATCCATTTACCCAACAATCCAGCCATCCAACCACCCATCCATCCATCCATCCATCCGTCCGTCCACCGATCCATTTATCCAACAATCCAGTCAGCCAGCCAGCCAGCCAGCCATCCAACCACCCATCCATCCATGCATCCGTCCATCCGTCCGTCCATCCGTCCATCCGTCCATCCATCCATCTACCCATCCATCCATCCATCTATCCATCCATCCATCCGTCCATCCGTCCGTCCATCCGTCCGTCCATCCGTCCATCCATCCACTCACACAGTGAGTATTTCTCTCTCCATCTGGGGATTATTCTGGGTCAGGCGCTGGGGGCACAGAGTGGACCAGGCCCAGGAAGCCGCCACGTGCTGGGCCGGTGGACCATGTGGCAAAGACGGTGAAGAATGCGGCGTGGCCCCAGCTCTCAGCCTGGCTGCTTCCTGGGCCACATGACCGAGGAGGCAGGAGTCAGGGAGGAGCTGGGTGAGGGCAGAGGTTAGCGGAGGGAGGGGCCCTGCATTCAACGTGGGGCGTTACATGGCGGGCACGGGAAGAGCTCAAGGCAGGATTTGTGCCCCAAATGTGAGGTGACCTAAACACCTTCTCAACATGGATTCCCCAGGAATGGAAACCATTTCCGCGCCCTGCCTAAGCCAGCCTCGGCTTAAGCACACTTGCTTAAGCTGGAAAAAAAGGATTTTACCAATTTTAAAAGATGCTTCACAGAGAAAACAGTGCACGGAGGACCTTCTCCCCAGGAGGGCCAACAGAGGCTGCCTGTGCCTTTTCCATTGTTCCCCAGCTAAGAACCAGTCCAAACAAAGGGGAGCGGCGGAGGGGGGCGGATGCAGGCCCTGCCCAGGGCAGTGGAGGGGGCCTGGGGCCACCGAGCACACTGTCCACACTGTCCCTGCTCTGACTCCCGGTGACTGAGACCTCACAGGAGTTCAACTACAGAGGAAAGCCAGGCAGCGACGGGCAGGGCACGAGGTGTCCAAACCACATAGCCACCGGCCTGGCTACACTGGCTGGGGAGCCAGCTGGGATGGGGGAGGGGGAGGGCGGAGAGGTGCCCCCCCCCCCCAGCATCCGGGGCACGTGGGGTGGACGGGGTCCCAGGGAGGCCTGCTGCCTCTAAGTTGCAAGGGAGAAGCGGAGGAGGCGGCGATGGCAGCTTCGAAATCAGACAGGAAAGGCATGGAGGTGGGTTTCCCTCTAAGCCCATGCTGACGGGCGTGTGTGGAGATGCGTGGAGCCCTGCGTCCGTGCAGGCAGTGAGGCCGAGAGGGGGCCCTTAGGTGCAGGGAAAGGCTCTGGGCAGGTGAGGGACGGGCCCGGTGGCGGCCACGACACAGCCCTGCCCAGCAGCTTCCTGCCCCTGCTACCCCTCCTGCCCTCAGATCCCCTGAGAACTGGGGAAGGAAGGGGACCTGGGATGCTCAGCAGAGTCCGGGGTCCCCATCAGCCCCCATGGTCCTCAGCAGGCCTGGCAAATCCCCCTGCTTCTAACCAGTGAGGACAGGGTCGGGGCTTGCCCCAGGCCTGGTCAGAATCTCCCGGAGCCTGGCAACCCCTCCAGCCAACCAGGGTGGTCACAAGGCAGAGGCCCAGCCGTCCCGCTCTCACACACGTCCCCACCAGGCACACACACTTGGTCCCTGAGTGCAGGGGGGTCTCCAGTCTGAGTACTGTAGCTGCTCTCCCCCAGGGACAGTGTGGGGACTGACAGGTCCTAACAGCAGGCTCAGCAGCGTTGATCCACAGCCTTGGGGCCACACAGTTGCTGTCGAGGACCACTGAGGACAGCTGTGGCCAGGAGAGGCTTCTCTCTGTGACCTCCTGTCCCCTGGAGTGTTCAGACAGACCCTCCCGAGAGACAGACGGCAGCAGACCATCACTGCGGGGCTGCCCGAGGTCAGGCACCTGGAGAATTGCCCGGCAAGCCCAAGTTCCCTGCAGATGCTCCCGGGCCGCTCAGAGGCCGACATCTCCTCGTTAAGCTATCCTGGGATCGCAGAGGTTTCCCCGCGATCTTTCTCTCCCACCAACCCGGCGCTGCCGATTGAGGATGGGTCGCCCTGTCCACGCAGAGCCCCGGGCTGGCTGGAAAAGTCACATTACAACCCTTGCTTTCTCTCCATGCTTCTCCTCGAAAACGATTCATGGTTGAACTTCCTCCTCAGAGCTGGCCTCATGCCAGGGGCAGAGGGCCTCTCGGGGCCTCTCAGAGACAGAAAGGGTCCCTGGGATGCAGAGCCAGAGCCAGGACCCTGCAGCCCCTGGTGGTCCACCAACCACTCCACCAGGACAAGCCCGGCCCGAAGCTCCTCCCATGAAGCAGGACCTCCTTCCGTCACCGTGTAATCCACGTCGGCCTCGGACCCGCGATGCCAGCTCCAAGTTGGCTCAGGGGACCCTCGGGCTGGGAGCTGTCTGTGCACACACGGTGTGTACGATGTGCATGGTCCCGGCTGAGCGCGAGGCATGGCGGCAGTTGGGTCAGTCCTGGTCCACTTTCACGTGGGGCTGACGGGGTACGGAGGGACCCCCGGACTCTGAGAGGCCCCCTGGTTCCGGGCTTGTGCCAGTCAAGCGCCCGCGGGAGACCCTGCGCTTCCAGAGCTGCCCGGGGGTCCCAGTATCAGGCGTCCACGCTCGTCACCTGAGCCTTCAGGAGACCCTGCGAGAGCACAGCGGTCCCACCCGGAGAGAGCAGGAGCCAGGAGACGGGAACGAGCTCCCTGAGCTCACACAGCAGGGAGAGCCCCGGGACGCCTTGACAGTCACCAGAGCCAGGTCCTGCCCGATAACCCCGAGACGGCTGGCAGCACCCGGGGTGGCTTTCCTAGAGCCCCCATCGGGGTCGAAGTTCTGTCACCCGAGGAAGGAAGGGCGGAGGGCAGGGGGTCTTTAGCTGCCCGCCTTCTCTAAGCCGATGCATCCGCCCTCCCCGCAGGGCAGGCCCATGAGCCACAGAGAAACCCCCTGGGAGGCGACGAGAGGTCAACATGCAGCTGACGCCCAACCCCCCC